CTCACATCTCTAATTACAGGGGATAAATGTGCTAAAACAGAAATCTTTGCTTGATTGGCATCTGGTACCTTTGCTCTTCCTAACCATTTGCTTCCAGTTTATCTCTCATCCTCTTTTCTCCACCTGGTCACTGCTTCTCATCCTTCAAAATGAGGTCAAATGTTGGCTTTTTGGTGAAGCCTTTCCTGAATCCCCCAGAAAATGTTATTTATTCCTTTTCCCATGTCCTCAGAATGTTTACAGTGTCCACTTAACATACTATAATACCATGATAATGAGTCTGTCTTCCCCATAAATTGGTAAGATCTTTGAGAGTAAATGTAGCACTTTATTATTGTATATCCCTCAACCAATGCCTAGAAAAATAAGCATCACGTTGTGAATTCAATTAATGTTTCTTGAATATACTTGGATTTTTTATAGACTAAATTTGTCATACTTTTTAACTGCATCTGAACACATCCTTTTTGTCCTCTTGGCATCTCAAGACTAATATCTCTAAGTAAACTTAGCATCTCACATATTGTCTTGCCTCCCTTGCTCTAACCCTATTGAAGAATTGATCATTACTCTCACTCACTCAGAAGAATTAAATTTGAGAAACATTTTGATCTTTTATGTATTGGTAATTGTTGCTGATAATGTTTTATCTTTCAAAAAATTAGCTTTTTTGGTGTTAACTGTACGTATAAGTCAAGTGAGTTTTTAGAAAATGGAATAATTTTAGGACAACTCAGGACCTCCAGAGCTTACGCTGTTACATCACCAATTGTCTTTAACCCCCCTAATTTGATAGCCTGTTTCAGCTCTCTCTAGGTGAAGATTTTTCACATACAGCTGGTCCTGTGTTGATACAATATCTCATTAGATCTTCTTAGTTACAGTTCCTGTGTCATGAATGATTCTCTGAGAAACTCTATTCCATCCAAGCCAGGGCACAGCCGGTCTGGGGCAGCACACGGCGACTTCCTGACTCTTAACATCCCTTAACCAATGCCTAGAAAAATAAGCATCACATTGTGAATTCAATTAATGTTTCTTGAATATACTTGAATTGGCCATTAGCCAATCCCTTGTTTGTAGAGTGAATTTAAGTATCACACGGGCAGACAGCGTACAAGGTAAACTTTAAAGTTCCTTCTAAACCTGTTACTTTATGATTCTTAAAATTGGATATTCCAAGTTCCAGTTATTTAAGTCATCTTTCCACTAAACCAACTCTCTAACTTCAAAATATTATGTATTCAAATCCTTTATTGTAGGTCCCACCTTTCAGATCCCCAGATCACGTACCAGCCACTGTACATCATTCAGTCCCTGCTTTTGTCTTGCTTGGCTCAGACATATGTGGGTGATGGAGACTGGGTCTAGGAGCCTTTCCTCCTCTTCAGCAGGTTCTAGCCCCATGGGACAGAATCCCCAGGGCTAACCTTGACTGTTTCAGGCCACAAGGGGCACAGGCAAGGGAGAGACCTCCAGCCCCAGGAGCAGAAGAGAATCAAGCGTAGGCTAGGCTTCTGGGAGGGCACTTGGATAGGGACCAAGTCTGTCTTCTGTCAGGTGGGCTTGGAGAGTCTTTCCCCAAATGCTTCCTACTTTATCACTCCTTCCTCAGCATCCACCCCTCTCCCCATCCCCAGTGACTTCTTAACACAGACTCTTGGACTCTGGCTCCGAAAACATGACATTTCTCTGACTCTAATGTTTTGAAACTACTTCCATTTTTCGTAATCCCTGAAAAGATTTCTTCTCCTATCCCAGAAAGTATTCATCTTGCAAAAAAATCTCAGGTGAATGTAGAACTGAGAGATATTCTTCTATAAATTTTCTCTTATGTGGGCTTCAATGCAATCAACAAATACAGGCTTTTAGAAAGCCATGTCCACCGTGTAACCTCTCACTCCGAACTGGAAGGCAGTGCCCTTTACCCTTTATAGGACTTGTTGATCGCAGAGATAACATTGACAAACCGTGATGGGAGCAGTGATTACAGTGGAAATGCCATCCAAGCCCCCTTTTGAGGAAGGAAAATAAAAACAGCAGAACAGCCAGCCTATTAAGAAGGAAGTAAACTACAATTGAAAGGAAACTGTAAAGCCATCACTTGGACCTCAAAATGTGTTTAGAAACTCTTTTATAAATCCCTTGATTATCTTTAGTAGAAGAAACATAAGACTACAACTTTATGAGCCCTTAGAAACTAGACAATTGTGCATACTTATCAAATTGAAGCAAAGTCCTTTGATAAGATTAATGCTGACTCTGCCGGGGAGTCCCCCGTAAGCACAGATCACAGCTGTTTTGTTTCTACGAATTGAAGGAAAGAAACAGAACTGCATTGCTGTTCATTTTCATTATGTACATAAAACATAAACTTCCATCTTTGTCATAAGCTATAAAAGATTACATGGTAGAGTCTGGGATGTCAGAAAGCATACGTGGTACGAAAAGGGGTCATAACCTGTCTTTGTAGTTAGTCATTTCGGATTTATCTGATCCCCCTACACACACAAGGAGCTTAAATTTTGATTTCCAAGAGGAAAATTATAAAACTTCAGAGCAGCTTTTAATTTCTAAAGCAATAATCACATTGACTTTCTCCCTCCCTTCTGTCCAAGTTCGCAGGAATCTAAAAAAGAATTTTTTTTTCATTCTTTAGGCAATTTTTAAGCAGAGCATGATGTGGAAATTTCTATAAGCTGTGACAGGCAGGCCCGCTATAACCTTCTGTTTGGGATTCCAAACTTTGAATATTTTTCAGCTTCTCATGTGGATAATATACTCCCTCGTGGCCCACTTTCTTTCTGTTTCTAAAAGGCCAGTAGAGAAAAGCATTACATTCAAAATAATTCTTTACCATATAAATCAAGGCTTAAATGATAATTTCTTCTATTATTGTCACCTTCATAGGCCACTGAGTATAACTAAATTATTTCATAAGTATGACTCACTTGATGCCTGGTGGAAACTCCAATCACCCTAATATGCCACATAAAATCTCTTTCTTTTTCTTAAATGTCATGGCTATTCTTGACCTTGGGAAAGATGGTCAAATTCCATGAACACCACTTTTTGAATTTTGTATGAGATTTTATTTTATTACTCGGTCAAATCAAGGAGAAGACACATTTTTCTAATATTCACATCCCATCCATGAATGTGTTCTATCTCATCATTTATATAAAAGAGCTATTTAATGACTTTAAATATAAATTTATCAGAATTTCCCAAAAAAGTCTTGAACATCTTTTGTTAAGTGTTTTATTGTCTCTTTAATTATATTTTATGATTATTATTGTTATACAATAATGCAATTTTTTTACAGAGTAGTATCTAGCAAGCTGGTCAACCATATTAATTCTAATAATTTATCTGTGGTTATCTATGTCCCAATATAAATAAGAATGTCATCTAAAAATAATTATAATTTTTTCTAGCATTTATAAGTTTAATTTCTTTGTTGGTTTTGTTTTTTGTTTGTTTGTTTGTTTTCTTTTTTTTTCTTATCTGCTGCAATAGCCAGTAGTACCTCCTATAAAATGTTGACTAGAAGTTGTTATTATCCACTAATCTTGTTTTGTTCTTGATCTTAAAAGAACTACTTTTCACACATCACTATTAGGTCTGCTGCAGGATTTTAAAGAGTGTCCTTTATCAGCATAAGGAAGTCTTTTTTAATTTGTAATTTTATTGTTGTTTCATTCCAGTAAAATAAGTTAAAATAAACACCAAGTCATCCTCGCAAAAAGAAATAAAGTATTTCAACATCGTTAGACAAAAACAGGAAACCCAAAACTTGTTTACTCTATCATTTAAAACAATGCTGCCCAGAAGAATTCTTTTTTAAAGGAGTTTTCTTTTTGTATTTTCAATATAACTGTGGGCATGTTACCCTGAGACGAGGACTCTCCAAGGGGGACACTGCAGTTTCATGTCTGATTGGAAGAGAACTTCCAGAAAAGTGCCACCTGAGTGCCCAGGGTATTAGGATTCTAAAATCTGAGGCTCAGGGAAAATGTCAGAATAAACTTCCGTGAAATTTTTGCTTTTCTTATTCCCTTTGTGCCAATCCACGCACTCCTTCCCTCCTCTTCCCATGACCTCCCACCACCAAGATATACATAAAGTAAAGTGGAAAAGTCTATTTCTTGATATTAATAAATTTGTTGCTGCTGGTGTGTGTGGTGTGTGTCTGTGTGTGTGTGTGTGTCTGTGTGTGTGTGTGTTTGAGAGAGAAAGAGGGAGAGAAGACAAATGACTCTTCAAAACAAAATTGTAAGTTCTTGAAAAACAAACATTGTGTCTCTTTGTGTATCTCCCCCTTGGTTTCCAGAGCTAGTTTTACACTCAGGGGACCTGGCTGACTAACTGATGGTTTCAAATTCAAAGAGCAGGATACATTTCTATAGCTCATTTTAACCATCAGCACACGCAGTGCCCTCATTCCTAACCCCCTGACTTCGCAGTTAGAAAGTGACTTCTCAAATTCAGCTTCAAACATTCTTTACAGTGGGATCACCCAGAAACACTGAACATTGCACTCTCATGAACCCTCTTCCCCGTGACTCGCCAGTCAACACCTAAACATTTACCCAAAGAGCTCTTTTATTTTCCTTTCTGCTAACCTCATTTACTACTTTCTCAATGCCTCTCCAGGAATCCCTTCTTGAGCAAAGTCCCACAGTCAGCTTTGGCTCTTCCAAATTCTTTTAAACACAGCTCTCTCTCTCTCTCCAAGTTCTAAGGCTACCTAAATCTTTTCATTTGCATCCTGATTATTTGATTTGTTTTTTGGCTTATGTGATCTTTCACCCATATTAGAAAGATATGGATTCAGAAGTCGTATTTCTCCTCCCTCAACAAGTTTCCCAATTTGTCCCAATCCAAGACTCAATCCATTTAAGCTGGTACATGCAGTGTGTTTGGCAAATTATTTGATTAGCTGATGACTAACCAACTAAAACCCACCCTTACTGAATGAATGGTCTATGACTTGATCCTCAGGTTCCCTTTGACAAAGCCCTAATCCTTTGTGTGACCCTCCTGACAGCCTCCCTCACTTCCTTGTTACGAAGAGTGTAAATAATGGGGTTGAGAAAGGGAGTAAGAAAAGTATACACTAGGGCAATAAGCTTGTCTGCGCCCTCAGGTCGACTCTTAGGTGGCCCCACGTAGACAATGAAGGCAGAGCCAAAGAATAGTGCCACTACAGTCACGTGGGAGGAGCAGGTGGAAAAGGCCTTGGCACAGCTGGCAGCTGAGGGCAGCTTCAGCACAGCTCTCAGGATGCCCCCATACAGTCCTAAAATGAGCACAAGATTGCATGCGTTGATAATGCCAATCACGACAATATGGACTTGGACATTCCAGCCTGTGTCCACACATGCTAACCTCATTAGTGGTCCCAGGTCACAGAAATAATGGGCCACCTCTTTCAAACAGAAGGGCAGAGTGGCTGTGAGGCTGGCTGGCACAAGTGCAGCTGAGAAGCCAGCCACCCAAGTGGCCCCTGCCAGCCTTAACCGTACCTGCCTGCTCATGAGCGCATGGTAGTGGAGTGGGCGACAGATGGCGAGGTAGCGGTCCAGCGCCATGACACCCAACAGGTAACACTCAGTCATGCCCAAGGAATGGAAGACATAGAGCTGGACAAAGCACACAGCTGACGAGATGGGCAAGTGCCCATGGAGCAAGGTGTGCAGCAGCGTGGGCACGGTGGTGCTGACGTACCAGAGTTCCAGGAAGGAGAGGACACTGATGAAGAAGTACATGGGCGTGGACAGTCCCGAATCTGCCCGCACCAGGACAATGATGAACAAGTTGCCTGCCAGGGTGAGGAGATAGATGCACAGTGTCCCCAAGAAAGCAAGAGGTCGCAGGGTTCCAGTGGTAGCAAAACCCACAAGGATGAAACTCTGGGTCCCTGTGTGATTGACATGATCCATGATTCCTGGGAACAAGGGGTAAAGATGGAAGGTAAACTACTTCAGGATTCTTCTTGAGACATTTTCCCAGGATCAAAAGTAGAGAATGTATGACCCTGAAGATTATTTACACATTATCAAACCAAGTCCTCCAGGTCCCCTCACTTTTCAAAACAGGAATTGAAGACCAGAGGGCAGAAGGGATTTGCATAACATCACGGTCTGTTGCTGATAGAGTCAGAATGGAGTCCGGGCTTCCTGATTCTGCACATCCCAGTACTTTTCTGATTGTGTAGAATGTGACTCCAGCGTCTCAAGCTCCAGTATATTGCCCCACACACCCCACCAGGAAACAGAAGAGAAAGGAGAATTCTCATGCTCATCCTCTTATAGTCCAAATGGAATGTCCCACGATTGCAGCACCCATGTGTACCACATCCCTGTACCCAACAACCAGCTGTACTTAACCATGGAAAGGGTGACAAATCCTTCCTAAAATGTGACTGCTAACTTCCTTTCAGCGAGCCTCTCTGGAAGTCAGGAATGTTCCCAATAAGGGCTGAAGGATGAAGAGGTGGGAGAAGAAAGAAATGTGAATACGCTGGAAAGAGTTCGTCAAAGCTCAGAATGATAGGGCAGCACAAAGAATCAATGAGTAAACACAGTGTATTTTGAGAAGACATTCCCAAAGGGAATTATGTACTAGGAAGTCTCTGAGGGGCTTGTGTGTGTGTGTGTGTGTGTGAACTGATGAAGTCAGGACCCTCTGGTATCAGTCTAGAAAGGCTGCAGTATAAGATAGAACACACTCCCTTAGGGAACCAGCTTTCTAAACTTGCTTTGCCACTAACTCAAAGTGAGCATTAAGCCTGACCATTTCTCCTGTCTTCATCTCAGCCTTGCTCTTGTCTAAAATGAAAAAAGTTTAAACAGATCACCTATGGAGCCCCTTACAGCCCTGGTAGGCTGTGTTTTTCTAAAGCCACTGAAACACGTTTTGGGGGATGAGGGGAGAAATAAGTGAACTACACTAATGTGCCAAGAGTTTTCTTCCCACACATCCAATAGGCCTCTCCCCGGAAAGGCCAAAGCCCCCTCTTAGTCCTCTTCAGATCCTCTCTCTGCTACACCATCCCTGACCTCTACCTGTTTTGATGGCATTAAGTCTCTTGGCTTCTTTTTCAGTGTCCTTTTTACCTCCGATACACGTCCCTACTTAAAGCTCATGTTTCTGGAAATGCTGGCTTCCCCGGGCTCCTCGCTGTGTCCCTAGGGTTGATGGGGGTGACTAGTTTTTAGCAGGGTTCCCTCTGGGACAGGATGCTGGGCAAAGCAGAGAAGCCCTATTTCTCAGATGATTTCTCTAAACTCTGCCACCCTGATCGTTGGGATCTGGAATCCAGTCTCAGGGACTTTGCCTCCCCTGGGCCACCAGAACTTTTTGCAAGTTCCATACAGCACTGTATGGGAAGAGACAAGCCATCTCACATAAACTTGTGCACACAGTGAGAGTCACCCATTGAGCGCCCCAGAAGTGAGTTTCTTTTTTTTTTTAATTCTCCTTGCGAGAAGATTTCTCATCCAACTTCCTTTTCTGATTACCTAACCTCATCACTATATAAACACAGTCAACATGGGTACCATTATCACTTCTGTGCTGAGCATCTCCACCTCCATTACTCCCACCACTGTCTCTTCTTTCATCATGTCCTCAATCATCTATTCATTGGTTCAGTCATTGTTTATTGAATCCCTAATGCTCTGCTCCAGCTACACTGTGGTAAGCCTGCATTTCCAGTATTACTATCATTACTGTCATCATCACCACGATTATTGTCATTACCCAGGACTTTCTCATGAAGCTTATTCACTTTTTTTATAATAACTTTTATTTATATCCACATCCTTAATATTTTTATCACAGGTCTTGAGATTCACCCCTGAGCTCTAACCTCAGCTGAGCACTCTATCTGAGAGCATGTATTTGGATGGACATGGAATCCAGAAAAATAGTAGAACAAAAATGTTTGTCTATTGGAAGTAATGCATCTGAATCATTCATACATCCAAATGTACCTTTTTTTCCCAGAATCAAGTGCGAGGACAATACACTTGTTAAATTAAACTTAAGATAAAGAGGTAACCATAAACATCAACACTGAGATGGAAGAAATCATGGAATTTTCTGAGTGCCAACTGCAGAAGTTCCTGTGGGAGCTGGAGATTTTTAAGTAAAAGAAAAAAAAAAGACATTTGCTTCTGAGATTACTAATGTAACTGCAGGATTCGAAGAGTCTTCTTCAGGGAAAAAAAAAACTCTAGTATTTGGACAATCAGAGAGTCTCCATCAATCTCAACCAGCATTAAGCCTACATCCCACTTCGTCTGAAATACCTGACCTCTCTCCAGGATGGACAGTGGCAACTACCCTTTGACTAAATTACTGCGTCCTCTGCAGTCCCAGACACCAAGGGACGCTTTGTTTTTCTCCTTATTTTGTGGATCTGTATAGATTAGCCATCTGTCTAGACTCTGCAAATGAATAACCGTGCTGTGCTCAGAGCT